TATTAAACTTTTTTTACAATTAGGCAAAAGGTTAAAGTATAATACAAAAATATTTAATAAGGTAGTTAATTTTAAAAATTAGTAGATAATATAGTTTAATAACATACTAAATCTAGTACAATGTACTAAATCTAGTATAGGTAAATCCAATCCATTAATTTCTAATATGCTTAAAAATGGTTTAAATAAATAATAAATTAAATAAAATTTTATCAATATTGTATATTTTTAAATTTTAAATTTATTGTATATATATATTATATTGATAAAATTAATGATTATTTAGTAAAGGGTTTTTCTATATACCTCTGGTCAGAGATATATAAGTTATATATCTCTGGCCTCTTAGCCAATTAAAACAAGTAAAGGTCATATGACTCATTTTTCCAAATCACTGATTAATTGGAAGAGTTTGTAAAACCCGAAATCAGTCTAAAATCTGACCTCACTTTACGGACTTAATTATCAGCCAATCAAATTCGACTATTGACAAAACATCAATACAACTAAGCAAGAACAAAAAACAGCTGACAAAAGAAACACCTAAACAAAATAATTCACAAAACCTTGAGGTTTCGCGCTAATAAAACAAAGTTTATTCTATGCAATATACATACTATATACAATGTTTTAACACTGCCACAATTACGACCTACATCAATACTACAAAAAATTGTATCAATATAAAATTTAGCAAAATCAATTACTAGCAAAACAAAATTACAATGAAGAATCAGCACCAAAAAACGTTAATGTGAAAAAGCACTGAACTACTTATTACTACTACAATGGCAACACAAAAGACAGCCAGAAAAGAAACACTAAAATGCCACCTTCTTGAAAAAAAGTAGTAGTTTAGTCACATCACTACCAGCGAAACAAACTTAAATGATGCGGAAAAGCACTGAACTACTTACCACCACTACAATAGTGACATGAAAAACAGCAGGCAAAAAAAAAACAAAAACGCCACCTTTTGAAAAAAAAAGTGGTAGTTTAGTTATATCACTACTGGCGAAACAAAATTACAACGAAGAATTAGTACCAAAAAATATCAATATAAAAAAGCACTAAACTACTTACTACAACTATAATGGCGACATGAAAGATAGCTGACAAAAGAAACACCAAATCGCCATTTTTTTTAAAAAAAGTGGTGGTTTAGTAATATCACCACCGGTGAAACAAAATTACAACGAAGAATCAGCACTAAAAAATGTCAATGTGGAAAAGCATTGAACCACTTACTACCACTATAGTGGCAACACGAAAGATAGCTGGCAAAAGAAACACCAAAATGCCACCTTTTTTAAAAAAAAGTGGTAGTCTACTACCGGCAAAACAAAATTACAACAAAGAATTAGCACCAAAAAATGTCAATGTGGAAAAGCACTAAACTACTTACTACAACTACAATGGTGATATGAAAGACAGCCAACAAAAGAAACACTAAATCATCACCTTTTGAAAAAAAAGTAGTAGTTTAATAACATCACTACTAGCGAAACAAAATTATAACGAAGAATCAGCACCAAAAAACATCAATGCGAAAAAGCACTGAACCACTTACTACCACTACAGCAGCGACATAAAAGACAGCCAGCAAAAGAAACACCAAAACACCAACTTTTTTAAAAAAAAGTGGTAGTTCAGTCACATTCACTACCAGCAAAACAAAATAACAACGAAGAATCAGCACCAAAAAACATCAATGCAAAAAAGCACTGAACTACTTACCACAACTACAACGGCAATACGAAAGACAGCCAACAAAAGAAACACCAAAATGCCACCTTTTGAAAAAAAAAGTGGTAGTTTAGTAACATCACTACTAGCAAAACAAAATTACAACAAAGAATCAGCACCAAAAAGCATCAATGCGGAAAAGCACTAAACCACTTACCACCACTACAAAGATGATACAAAAGACAGCCAGCAAAAGAAACACCAAACCGCCACCCTTTTAAAAAAAAAGTAGTAGTGTAGTCACATCCACTACCGGCAAAACAAAATTACAAGCACCAAAAAACGGCAATGTGAAAAAGCACTAAACCATTTACCACAACTACAGCAGCAACACGAAAGACAGCTGGCAAAAGAAACACCAAAACACCACCTTTTGAAAAAAAAAGTGGTAGTTTAGTAACATCACTACTAGCGAAACAAAATTACAATAAAGAATCAGTACCAAAAAATGTCAATGTGAAAAAGCACTAAACCACTTACCACCACTACAGTGGCAACATGAAAGACAGCCAGCAAAAGAAACACCAAAATGCTACTTTTTTAAAAAAAAAGTAGTAATTCAGTCATATCTACTACCAGCAAAACAAAATTACAACAAAGAATTAGCACCAAAAAACATCAATGCGGAAAAGTACTGAACCACTTACTATTACTATAACGGCAACATGAAAGACAGCTAGTAAAAGAAATACCAAAATGCCACCCTTTTAAAAAAAAAGTAGTAGTGTAGTTACATTCACTACCGGCAAAACAAAATTACAAGAAAAATCAGCACCAAAAAACATCAATGCGGAAAAGCACTAAACTACTTACCACCACTACAGTGGCAACACAAAAAACAGCTAGCAAAAGAAACACCAAAACGCCACCTTTTAAAAAAAAAGTGTAGTTTAGTCATATTACTACTGGCGAAACAAAATTACAATGAAGAATCATTACCAAAAAATGTCAATACGGAAAAGCACTAAACCACTTACCACTACTACAGTGGTGACACAAAAGACAGCCAGCAAAAGAAACACCAAAACGCCACCCTTTTAAAAAAAAGTAGTAGTGTAGTCACATCTACTACTGGCAAAACAAAATTACAAGAAGAATCAGCACCAAAAAACGTCAATGAGAAAAAGCACTGAACTACTTATCACCACTACAGTGACAACATGAAAGACAGCTGGCAAAAGAAACACCAAAATGCCACCTTTTAAAAAAAAAAGTGTAGTTTAGTTACATTACTACCGGCGAAACAAAATTACAACGAAGAATCAGCACCAAAAAACGTCAATGCAGAAAAGCACTGAACTACTTATCACCACTATAGTGGCGACATGAAAGACAGCTAGCAAAAGAAACACCAAAATGCCATCTTGAAAAAAAAGGTGTAGTTTAGTTACATCACTACCAGCAAAATGAAGAATTAGCACCAAAAATGTCTGTGAACCAAGCAATGATGAAAAAGCAAACGAAAAAAAGGCCTAACAATGAAATCCAGGACACCAAACACTTAAACACATGAAAGGTTAAGTAACACTAACAATAGAATTCGAAAGAGTACTGAAATACTTATCATTAGCATTTAAAATCCCATACTACAATAACACTAATGATAGCACCAGCAACGAAAGGCGACACAGCTAAATAAAAAAGAAGCAAGGTGAAAGAAAAACAAAAAAATATTAAAAGATAATCATTGTGCTACGTAAAAAATACTTATCTATTCGGATCCAGGAAAGATCGTTTGACTTTGTATCGGCAGTCAGATTAACATATGAATTTTAATTATGTGATTTCCTTGTCAATTGATTGGCCAAAAGGCCAGAGATATATAGAAAAATCCTTTAGTAAATAAATATATTTTAATTTAGAAATATAATAATTATTTAAAATAATAAATAAATATATATTTTAGAGAAAATCTAAACAGTGCTCTCATACACTTTGTACTTTCTAGCAAAAATTTAACCTATAATAAAAATTAAAATTACTGTAAAATCCCGAAAATAAGCACCACATTCTCTACTTTACTTTTTAGATCTTGGATTAGTGGAAATAGCAATAAAGTCTTTACTCAAGATTTAAAAAAATAGGGCAGAGAGTGTGGTGCTTATTTTTGGGATTTTATAGTAGTTTAAAAATTAGCAAAATTGTGTAAAATTGCAAGAAGAACATATTTGCTTAGTTATACAACAGAGTTTACTTTAGTAAAATTTTAAAATATTAGCAATTTTATGATTTTAGATTAGAGTTAAATTAAAGTTGGGTTAGAGTTAGGTTATAGTTAGATTAGGATTAGATAGAGTTAGGTTAGGGTTAAAATTTAGATTTAAAGTAGTATAAAATTGTGAGAAGAATATTTTTACTTAGTAGCAAAACAGGGTTACTCTAGTAAAATTTTGAGATATTAGCGATTTTATAATAGAGGGACACAAAGTATATGGGGTACTAACTAGTCCAGTCCTATATTTTAATAATAAAAAATAACAAAAATTAGAAAAAGTTTTCAGAAAATATAATTTAAACAATTAGCAATAATATATAAAATTAAAGTGAATATATTTAAAACATTTTACAATACTTTGCATAATTTTATTAATAGATTAAATACTATAAAATAAAGCAAATATATTTAAAAAATTTCACAATGCTTTACATAATTTTATTAATAAACTAAATACTTTAAGATATTTTGAAATATTGCAAAAGTTATTTTTAATTTAATAGCAAATTTGTAATACAATTTTAATTTATTTTCAAAAATTGAATGATTTAAAAATATTAAAATAAAGATTAGGGTCCCATAGCCTAGTAATCTAGGCGTCTAATCCTCCACAGACAAGGTCAACGGTTCGATTATAGCTGGTGGTAATTAATTTAATTAATTATCTTTGTAATCTATAAAAGCTTTTGAATGTGAAAACCCTGTGACAATAAGACCATGTGAAGTACATATTTGGCCTATAAAGAATTCTTGAAAGAAGTTCCGAGCTGTAGAGAAGATTGGGCACTATATGTAACATGGCATCACAGAAAGTAATACCACATAAGGCTGTATATATAAATTCTTGATTAGCTAGATAGCACCAACAACTCTAAGGCGGTCTTGGAGATTTTGATTGAAAGGACGGCTAAATGCAGTACAGTCAACTCCCGCTATAGTCACACCCGAAATAGTCACATTTTCTTGAGACTATATACCAATCATTTAAAGTAATATAAAATTAACTCTCGCTATAATTACATGATATGACTATTATTATATTTCTCTCACTATAGTCATATCAAGTTTCTGCCAGACAGTGTGACTATAGCGGGAGTTGACTATATACCTGGAAGTGGTAAGAGAAGTGGTGAATACAGTAAGGGGCTGTGGTAAGAGGATAGCTTTACCAAATAAGGGAACACCTCTGGCATACAAGATTGGAAAATTGAAAAACTAATAAGGAAACACTATATATCACAATGTCGATGATAGGTGCTATATTGATTCGTTATAAGTCAAGGTTCCAGGCCTCTTTGCATTACCAAGCTGGAAGTAAAACAATCATCAGTAGTACACCAGGACCCCGGACATCTCTCATATAGGTTATACTTGCACTTTAGCAAAAATTCAAAAATTTGACCTAAAGTCAGATTTTAGTTTTAACAAATTAATAATAATTTTAATAAAAGGTTATAATTTAGCATTTTCTCAAAATTACATCAATTTTATGTATGTTATATTTTATTTTTAGCAAATTATCTGCATTTTGGAAGAATTATACTCAA